ATCGCAAGTATCTGGGGACTTGGTTCTGGGAGCTGACGGGGCCAGCGTGAGTATCCTACTCACTATTGATAGACATCTTATCCAAAGTCTAATGTTCTGCGTCAGTCAATTTCTAGGGGAGTGGTTGCTGGAGAAACCTTGAAGCCATTTGCATCTGGAAAGAGTGCATTTAGGTTTATGATACCATGCAAAGAAATCCTGTCCGATCCTGAAGCTGCCACTCTATTCAGAGAAGGATATTTGTGCTTTTGGATGGCTGATGACAGAAGGCTAGTCATGTATCCTTGCTCCAACAATACCATCATGAACTTCGTCGGTATTCACCCCAGCACTCTCTCTGAGACAAAGAGAGAAGAAGGTAAACCTTTCCTTATCCATCACTGCCGAGCATTCACTAACATGGAAGTTTCAGGCTGGGATAATGGGGCAAGCAAGGAGGCCTTGCTTGGAGTGTATGAAGAATTCGGGCCACAGGTGCAAGCATTGCTCAAGCTTGCAGACGCTTCTTCTCTGAAAATCTGGACTCTGCTGGATATGGACCGAATCCCAAGATGGTTCAAAGGAAAAGTTGCTCTTCTTGGTGACGCTGCTCATCCATTTCTACCTCGTGAGTTACCACCAAACACCCTTTTGCAGCGCCAGCTAACGAATGATTCCCGCAAGACCAAGGTCAAGGAGGTAATCCAATCTCTTTTCTTGCCACTCAATGTTTTCATTATGCTGATTCATGAAATTTCACTAGGATCTGTGGCTATTGAAGATGCTGCTTCACTTATTGCACTGCTTCCAAAGGGAACCAGCCCAGAAGACCTTCCCGAACGATTAGCTCTCTACGAAAGGATAAGAGATAAAAGAGCTCATGATATCCAAGAGTTCACCCGTCGGATGGGTGCTGATATAAACGATGAAACTCGAGGCAAAATGAACAGTATGTACCATTTCAACCTTCTAGAGCATGGAGCTCTTCTTCTAATGCACATAATGCAGTCATGGAATTCGTGAATTACAACTACGGCCATGACGAGTTCCACAATTCCAGACATGAGTTGAAGAAACTGTTGAGTTCAAAGCATGGGCCCACGTACCTTCGCCAGCCAATTGCTTTTGGTCCGTTGCCCAGCCCAAGGCAGGATCACTTTGGACGGGCCTATTCCTCGGAAGATGCGACATTCACAACATACACGATCAGATTCAAAACCTCGGCGACATATTTAAAGAATTTGTTCCCGGAAAGCGTTTTCAGCTTTGAATCACCGGGTACGGTTGCAGAGGCAACCCTCCGCGCGACCGAGCTAAACAGTCTACCGTGGCTAGGTGGCGGCGGCTACTCCTTCGTTGGACTATGGATTTACGGAGTCCAACACGTGAAGAGGGATGGCACAAAAGTCTTGGGGTCCTTCATCCCCTTTCTCTTTGAGAATTTGTCTGATCCCATCCTCACCGGAAGAGATGAGTTGGGAATGCCAAAATTACATTGCGATATTGAAATAAGGAAGAATTCTGGTCGGACGAAGATCTTTTGTGCTTGGAGAGGTGCTGAATTCCTCAACATGACTCTGGGCGGCCCTGCCTCGGCTGGACCAAACGGGGTGATTCCCAATGGTGCCGATGAAGTTTCAAAGCACGAGTCGGAGGAAAATCAGTTTGTTTACCGATACGTGCCGTCGGTGGGAAAACCTGGAGAGGCCGATGCCGAATATCCGGTAATCATCCCCAAGCCCACCAATTCTCCAACTATTGTCGATCGGACGATACAAGGAAATACGAAAGATTCTGGAGTTGAATTCACGCCTGGAAATTGGGAAACATTCCCCACTATCCACCACATTACTTCGTTCTTGGCTGCCATGCCTATTTCAAACATTCTTGAGACAAAGACTGTTGAAGGCAGAGGCTTGGACGACCTTTCAAGGGTTCAAAGGTTGGAATAGCTTATTTGAGAAGGTCTTGTGATATTGTAAATATCTTATGCTTAGGTGAATAGCTATGGTTTTGAAGATTGTTGTTGCATCTCCATGAGCACAGAAATTCCTCATCTAGAAGCTGGAGATCAATGAAGTAGACCACTACGGTTAGGTGTTGGAAACGAGCAGCTGGGACATATGTCTCTAAATTGTATCAAATCGAGTGATTTTACAGCTATATTGAAGAAGAAGAAATTGTGTTGATCAACGCACTTGTATACGAGATATCACTGCTCTAATTTGGCAATGTAGTATCTGTTTGATAGGATCTCCTGTTACTGTTACTATTCAATAACATAACAATTCTCTTGGATATAAACGTTTATGCTGTATTCTTTTCTCATCTAGTTCCTCTACCTGCCTATTTGTGATGCTTAAGACTGACGACTTGGAATGTGATGCTTAAGGCTGACGACTTGGAAGCACACGTCCAAGGCACGCTCCAAACCCAACGCCAGAGGATGGCTCCCCAGCAAAGGCCGTCATCCTAACAATATCTAAATCTTCAAGATATTTTCTACGTGTCCCATCAGCGAGAATAACAGGCTCCAAGCCACCCTCAGTTGTTTCCAATAGGCACCCACGTTGTCCTCTGCCTGGTTCGCTCACGGTACCAGTCGCTAATATGTCGCCAGTGCGCAGAGGGCTCCCTGAGCTAACCGCGTGTGCAACCATCTGTCTCACATTCCAATACAAACTCGAGACATTTGATGTCCCTATAATAGTCGGTGAAGCGCCATCTGTTAGAAGCTCAACTTGCATTTGGATAGAATAGCTCCAGTTGTCGGGGTCTGCTATATATTCAACGGTTGGTGAAGTTTTTAGCTCCGACTTGACCATGAAGGGCTCTAGAGTTTCTTGAGTGATAATCCATGGGGATATTGAAGTTCCAAAGCTTTTTCCATTAAAAGGTCCCAGGGGAGGCATTTCCACTGACTGAATATCACGCGCTAATTCAGGTTCTTGTCAACAGTTGGCCATGGAAGTGCAAAGGGACCACATACCGCTCCAGTCGTTCATTATCACAAACCCAAAGATGTGTTTGTCGGCGTCCACTGCTGTCACTCCGACTCCTGCCACCACAGGTGAGCCTACAATCATGGCCAACTCAACCTCGTAATCAAGGGCCTGCGATGGCCCATAGACCAAGTGTTCCCCTGTGCCATTCCCACTATAATAATGTCCACGGGGTCTCTCTATATCAGTTCCTGAAACATATATCGAGCTGGCTCGGCCATGGTAGCCGATGGGGAAGTTAAAGAAGCCAGGTGGTAAGCGATCACTCTTGGCCACAATACGGCCAGCATTCCGCACATGCTCCAGGGAGCAGGAGTAATCTGAATAGATTCTTATTAGATATATTTTTAGGTTTTCCAAGTTCACATTTAATCCATACCAATAAAGTCACCAGGTTGGATTGGCAGGTGCAAAGTGATTGCTGAAATATTTTCAGTGCTCCCCTCAGGGAAGCCTGACAGTCCTTTGGCTTTGAAAATCTTTTGTATTATTTCACGAACTGCTACTCGCATCCATTTAGGATAGGAAGCAAATTCATTCAAAGACGATCTTTTGAATACGCTGCTAGTCAGACCGTTTATTTCTGAGAACAATCCTGATGCGGCCAGGTCAAACACAAATACAACGGCATTTCCAATGCGTGTCACAACTTGTGCTTGATTGTGGCTTCCGGACGATGCTATTCCAAAGGGAATGTTCCGCACAGAAAAGTGTTCTGAGAAATCTGGAGCTGACATGGCGGCTGTTCGAATATGAGTCGGCGCTGGTATGGCTTAGTTGAGCGCTTTCAACCCCCCCTGAAATACGACCGAAGAATTTAAACAATGTGCCTTACTCGGCCAATTACATGAAATTAAATCTTGGTACAATTGAAAAGTTCCTCACGTGCCTCTAGTACACCTTCCCGAGCCGTGGTGGTTTCCCGAACCGGTGTCATGCATCTTCGAGGAACTCCCCTCCACTTCCCGACCGCACAGAAGAACTAGTCAAGGTAGATCACCACGGATGACAGGATGTGGTCGCTTTTATCAATGAAGGAAATTTATCCAAGCTGGCAGTTTCTACCCATGTGAAGTTAACCTTCAATATCAGGCATCATTCACATCCAATCTCTCCACCTTACTGCCAATATCTCGTCTTATTTTATCATTACAGCATATCCAGCAAGATGGCAGAAAGAGGACTTAGTCACCCCAAGCGTTATATCACCACCCATAATGCTAAGGGTCAGGCTATCCTTGATGAATCAATACCTGCAGAAGCACCTTTCTACACACTTCCCAACGGAACCGCCGCTTTTGCTCAGTGCTACGTTACTGGGGCATTCCCGACCAAACTTGAGAACGATGAGGATCTCGGGGTGTATCGGGACTACCTTGCTTCTCCTCCCGGTCTGACTGTATCCAGCGGCACTGTATTGCGATACGTCGACATGCCACCAGATACTTTGTCGCCAATGCACCGTACCGTCAGCTTGGACTACGGTGTCGTGTTAGAGGGAGATATTGAGTTGGTCCTCGACTCTGGTGAGACGAAGCTGCTTCATAGAGGGGATATTTGCATCCAGCGCGGGACGATGCACGCCTGGCGCAATACGAGCAAGACGAACTGGGCGCGGATGCTCTATATTCTCCAGCCAGCCGGCAAGTTTACTATTGGAGGAGAGGAGGCCAAGGAGGACTACGGTGACATGCCTGGCGTAAGGTCTTCTAGCTAGAACTTCGGTACCTTTATTGGTTACAACAATGAATGAGTTTTTAATTGCTTCACCCACATATCACCAATTCGACATACAAGAATTGCAAAAGAGAATGAAACAACCGAAACCTCACTGAAATCGATCCTGGCCGGTGCGCTAAGCAAGGAATTATCAACATGTTAGCTTGAAGGGTTAGATGAGAGGATTCACTAGATATCGTTTCTATGTACCCTCGCCAGAATAGAAACCCAAGCTATATTTTCATGCAACGACTTTGCCTGGTAATAGAGGAAAGAATTTGCGATTGATTTCTATACTGATCACGCCTCTCCTCCGACCCTATACTTAAAGATGTTCCCATTTATGCGTCCACCTGATGCTCCCCAAACCTTTGCCATGGTCTTGTTAATTGCGTAGAATGTTAGTTGGATTTCTTTGGGTCGACATCTTAGATGAAAGGCTTACAGCATTTATCAAAACTCCCGTGAACATTGTCGTAATGAAAGCTCTCTCCACGTTGCTTGTGTATACGTTGTACTCCTCCTGGCTCCGTTCACGATCTGCTGGTCGATAGGGCGGAACTCGACGATGCGTTGTGTCCCAGCCAGGGGGCTGACCAGATCTCGACGGATTTGTATTCTCGCCGTTCAGATGCTCAGTGATATTAGTTTCTCCGCGAGAATGGTACAGCCTGTAGTCTCTTAGAACCCGGTGGTTCTCTGTAACAGTGTTCGTGACCGTTGTGGAAGCCATTGCGCTGTAGGTAGCCAAAGGTGAGTGAGTGAGTGATACGAACAGGTTCGGTGATGATGGTTTAGAGAATGCCTATGCCACGACGGTGGATGCCACAATTGACCTCGATCACTCTGTGTTCCATGCATTAGTAATTCGCTTGAATGAAGGCTCGGGAAGTGGAGTTGAGGCCGGCTTGGAAGTCGGATGAGGAGGACCCTCCACCTGCCCGGGAGTCCCCCTGTCCACGGGTACACGTTTCCATGTTACTCCATTCGACGACAAGTCGTTCATAGAAGCGCCTGTTCTATAGCCTCTTCAAGCTTATGTTTTTTTTCCTCTCAAATTTGTCTTGCCTCATATTCCTATCTTTTCTTCTTAGTTCTAACAGTTAGCGCGATGGCCGCCGAGCTCCGTGACATTCGATCTGCCGCCATTGATGGTCGAATGCATAATCCTTTTTTCCAAAAAGAACAGCTCAAAAGATTGCATGATATTCTTTCCAAGAATATTACCGAAATTCAAGATCAGATAGCCAGAGACCATCGCTATACCCAGGCAGAAGCCAGTGTGGAATACTGGCTTGCCTTGAGATGTATTGCTGAAGCATACAAGTCCATAGACCCAAAGCAGCATCTCCAGGCTGAATACGCTATAGCAAAATCTAAGGATGCATCAGACGCCCGAGAACCCGTAGGAATTGTGGTTGTTGAACCGGCTCAACACACATTTTTCTATAGCCTCATTTCTGCCCTTGTCCCAGCTTTAGTCCACGGAAATTGCATCATTGTCCAGGTATGCTTATCAATCCAAACCCGTGGCATAGCAAAACTTACATATATTGAACCGTCATAGACCGAGAAAACACTTCTTGAGTCTCCAAAATTTATCATGTCGCTTGTTGGTTCGGCGCTAGATGATCACGTCTTCAAGGTTGTATACTCGCAGTTGACGGACGATGAGATAGCGTCTCGGCACACAAGGATCGTCCAGAAGCTAGATGTGAACCCTCGAGTGATTGCAATCATTGAGCGAGATGCAGATCTTCAGCTTGCAGCCAAGGCTGTCGCGAGCGCAAGGTTCAGCCTCAGGGGCAAATCACCCTTTGCACCAGATTTGGTGCTTGTGAATGAATGGGTCAAGAAGGATTTTCTCAGTGCATTGGCACAGCATACTTCGGCATTTATCTCGGATACTATTCCCAAAGATCCGGTGCAGAAGTTGTCTAAGTCGAGATTCCATGACACCATCCTTAAGGAAAACCTTGGCGAAGTGGTCTTCTCCACTTCAGAAGGATATATGTTAAATGTCAAAAACAGGTAAGAGACCGATGATAACTTTGTTTAACTTCCCAGCTAACTAGCTTCGAGACAATCTCCTATTGTTCAGTCCAGAAGTGAAGAGTGCTATTTGGCCGTCCATAGCGTCACAAGCATGGATGATGCCATCGACCTGTCGCGAAGGTTAGTTTGAGCTGTCCAGTCTATTATATTTGCAAACCATCTTATAATTTCTAGTCTTGGTCGCCTTGGGGCTTCTTACATATTTTCCAGCCCTCAGGCTGCAAAGTATATATCCCAATTCATAGATTCCCAACTCACGTTTGTGAACCATATACCGCCACAGCTTCTTTGTATGTTGTTTCTCTTTCCCAACTGCACCTACTTCAATCGTGCCCTAACAGAATTAGATGAACCAATTATTCCCTTTGAGGCCTCATATCAACCGGGGATCCAGACTCGGTACTCTCCGAGCCTCTTTTCACTGCCGAAACCACAATATATTAATGATACGGAGGTGAATCGGAGGCTGCGTGATATCATTTTCAAACCAACTGCAAAAGCCCTTGAAGAACTCGACAAAGAAGCCACTAAAGAGCTTCCTGAACAAGTACGCCCAGCTAAGATGGCACACATAGGATTTTTCGAACAGGGTTTCCTCACCGGGGCAGTTCTCATGCTATCCGGGGTTATCCTGGGCCTGGCGACTCTATCTTATCATGGGCATAACTACTTGAGGTCCCGTTCACTTTGATATACGTCTGATCAACCTTAGGAAGATGGTTATGGTTTTTAGTATGTACATATAAAAAGAGAGAGATTACTTGTCACAGGATAGTTCAAATCCTCCTGGAAGCGTACCGGCTCGTAGTGACCCTAAGTTAGGACAATGAAACCAAACTCGTAAGTGGCTTAGAACACGAATGCAAACTTCTCAGTTGCAGCATCATTTTCCTTTCTACCCTCAGTGATCTTTTGCTAGAACTAAGATCTAGCAAGTTCAGAAAATGGTACCCAGATCTCATCCCACCCCAGAGCACAGCATCTTTACAAGCTTTTTCCTCGTTATTTCGAATTCGATAACTCTAATGCTCTTTATTATTATTTATTAATTATTATCGTAGTCTTCTATCTTATTTAACCTTCTTTCCCCTTTTCTCCCGGTATAGGGGAACTACAGTCAGTCGGTGATGACGTTGTCCACGCCATATAACCGTGGTAAGACTGCCCTTTTCGAGGCGACGACTCTTGACCTTGTACCTGCCATTGGTAGGTTGGAAATTGTAACCCTGCAGTTTGCTCGGACTGGTCTGTGTAAATGGGGTCTGGTGGTGCCGCTGGGACCTCCGGAGCTTGTCTCTTCCTCCTCCTTCTGAGTATAAACCAAATCAAAAACCCAATAATCACAATTCCTGCAATCCCTCCGACGATTGGGCCCGCTATCCATCTCAGATCTCGGTCTTTTGATTCTGAATTGCCCAAGCCCGAATTCAGATCCGGTACGTCCGTCTCTGTACTCGAAGTAGAAGCTGTACTGGCTGGGTTTTGGGTCCTCGTCGATTCAACCTCCCCGGTAGTGGTTTTCTTGACTGACGACGCTTGGGTGCTCGTGTTCGATGTTGATGAAGTGGAAGTGACGTCCGTGCCGGTAGTAGCCATGTAGAGCAAAGCCTGGTGTGGTTCGGCGTTGCATCCATAGACACTCCGTGGTGACTTGTCGTCTAAATCTTCGAAGATGAGGGCCGTATAACATTGGCTCGCTCCGCTTGGGACTCGTCAGTACTATGTCGCCTCGCGCACACCATTCGAGTTCAATTACCATTGATATTTTGTTTTCGACGCAACTAAGATCGATTCGGCTTCGCAGCTGCTCCATATCACATACTCCGTAGCGGCTGTTGCTACACAGCCGCCGTATTTACCCTCCCACTTCAATATTGAACCCGGCGGACACGAGCTGGCGGTATCTGTATCCAAGTCGCGATGAGCATTCTCACTTGCATCGCGCGCTCCAGATAGCTAAACTTACAGCTTCCATCCACCGATGCGTATCCTATAATCTCGGAGTTGACAATTTGGCCCGCATCGTCTCTCACTATCAATGGCGCTGCGGTAATCATTGGCGAGTCGAGCGCGTTCGCGAAAGCCGGATAACCAGGGTAGAACCCAACGAGGCAGAGGGCCGATTTCATGAGACCGGGTAGTCGCATCGTTTCCGTCATACAATATCGCAAGCTCGATACCTAGGCGCATTCATCGAGACTCTTTGATTACCTCGACGCGCCTCATCGGTATTGTCGACCATTTGGTGCTGTTCTGTGGGAGAGTAGGTAGACAAGGTGGAAGCGACCAAGGGCGCAGGGGAGGGGAAGTAGATTGAACACTGGCAGAGGGAACTCCCCTCTCGGCTGCGAAACTACATGCATATTATGTGATCCATCCATGTAACATCCCGAAATTGGAGACAGTCAAGCCATTAATTGACAGGCGGGAGCGCTCCGAGCTACATGGGTCCATGTCATGACCAGGGTCACCACCGCATCCTCAGGAGAAAGCACGAGCCATTTGTTTGAGCAACCCCAGCAGATTCGTATTTCCTTCCCCCCGCGTGGTCTAGTGCAACCTAAAAGCCCCAAACAGTATATTGGATCCTGCGTCAGACTTGGCATGAGAAGTTGTTTTCTCATGATGTTCCTCTCTTGAAATGTCATACAATACACAGCAGGTTCTGATCCAGCGCCGTAACACATGCGCGTCATGCCTCCCTTTGACAATATGCTCTAACCATGGTAGAATTCTTGACATGGTCCTCTTCATTATCATTGAAAAGTGTCGATTGTGATTGTCCAATAGTTTTCCTATATCGACATCCTTGTCAATGTCATAGTATTGACACCCACGTGCATGCGGGGGCTCTGCTCTATTCTCTCATTGAATTCATCATGTACCGGACCCTGATGCCTTGCAGGCATCAAATCGATCGCCTTTCAGTGAAGCACTCTTGACTAAGTTTGTGAATCTAAAGAGGCACTCTTTAATATCTCTTGACGCCTATCTGCGCTGGCTTGATCAAAACTCTGTCTTCGCCATCCCCTTGCCCCTGGGCATCAGCAACCGTAACCACAATGCTACTAAATCAGAAACCAACGCTAACATGCGTAACCTGATGGGGCAGGTATCACTCACCGTTTCTATTCTCATATCCATTCCATTACAGGCTCAGCACCTCTGTCAACTGAATATAGTCCTTGGTCCCGAGTGCTCTCATACTTGTCTCGCGATTCTGCTCGAGCTTCTTAAGATGTTCGCCGGCAATACCGGATAAAAATGTTTCACATGGATTCTAGAAATAACTGTTTCGTCGAAGTCCCCAGCCCGTTTTGTTGTGGGGAAGAGAACTCCTTTCAAGGCCCGTTAGAATCGTGCTACGAGATGATTTTGTTGCATACATCGGGGTGCCCGTTGCTTCATGTAAATGGAAGCTTCATCGGTAAGCGAGGTGGTCCTCAATCTTCTCGACCATCTTACACCATTGAAGAAGCTTCGCTTCGACTGTATTTAAATTGAAGCACCAATATCGGCACAGTGGGCGTGAGCAACTGCGCTTTGGTGAAACAAGCGATATATAACTACATTCTTTATCTTTGTTGAACCTACCACTCCATGTTTGACAATTACTCACCAGCAGGGGCCGCCTTTCTAACACGGGGCTCACCGTCCAGTAGATATGATAAACCTATGACTCTCCCCTCCACAAAACCTGCCAACTAGGCACTCCAAGGCGGTTTGGTCTTTATTTGGCTAGGTAGTTATGCAGCGCAATTTTGATTTAAGGCCTCCCAACCTATAATATAAACGTTCCTGGTCGCAAATATTCATGCGACGAGATCGCGTTTCAATTCTTCGGTCGGTAGTTTCATGACAAGCCTATTAAATAGACTCTGACCAAACGAAGTCTCCTTTACCCCTGAAATATTGACCATCTCTAGAGTAAATTTAGCTATCAGCCAAGTTACCTGCTGTATCATGTTAGCTCACCTCAAGGCCGGGTCTTGAACATGTAAACCTCGACCGCGTTATCGCAAAGAAAGTACTGATGCTCATTTAAGCTTTTAACTACGGGTGAATTTACGTGGGCTTAAAGCTAATTATCATACTGATAGATAGAGATATTGCATCTCCCGTATGCATAAATCCGGAACGGCGGTGTTGAATGTTGAACGTTGGCCATCAAGTGGCATCTTAGTGTCATGTTAGCTTGAGGAATTGCTTTTCAGTAGTAGTTACACCATTTTAGATGAAATTGGTGAAATCATAAATACCCTCGAGGAAATACTCGTAGGGAAGAGATATCTCATGTATCAGTAAAGCGTTTAATTGTAATAAAGAAGAAACCCTCGCCTCCTCCCCATGCCCTAATTCACATCTAGAACCTGGAAGTCAACTTCTAGCCTGTAAATAATTCCATTCTCCAATTTTATCGTCAACCAATGCCTTACTGAAGGACCACGTTCGCCGCAGGCACTAGGATCTAGGTTTTCGCCATAGCCCGAGCTACTAAGTAGCGAGCCCTTGCGCGTATAGCTTACGCTCCGTATCGACTACAAGTTACTATTTGCTTTAGCCCAATTTTGAATAGCTTCAATATGTTGTGCTGTAGAACTAAGGGCACAATCGGGACTAGGAGCTTCATCCGATGTATCTTGCAGCCTCTCTTGGTAAGTCTTCAGGCCTTCCTCGAAGGGAAAGAATACTGCGTATGGGGCAGGGGCTTGTATAGCATCAACTGTGCATCGGAGCGCCTCGTTCGCCGCCGGTAACAAAATCTGTATGCATAAATGGCCATTGCCCACCTCTAGATTGGTCTCATCCCAAAAAACTCTGGCTCCGAGGGATCGGTTCTCTTGTCAGGCGGACTTCGACGTATTCAAACAGATAAGGTTCGTCACCTTCTACCCTATTCTGTATCCCATCGTGATCGAAAGAGATATCTGTGCACTAACTGGATGGGATAGAGAGTTTCTGCGGCCAGCGGCCAGACTGGTTGGCCCTCACCAATTGCTCCGACGAAAAGTGAGCGTATCAATTAACCTTTTCCAGACTCAGAATCGATGTGAAAACAGGAACCAACAACTTTTAATTGTTACCGAGAGTTCTGTATCATGGAATTTAGGTCATAAATCGACTCAGGGGTCAAAGACTCTCATGCAGCGATTCTCTGATGATACGATGGTTGGCTCAACCTCGACCTTCTCCGCCACTAGCGAGGATTCAAACACCCTTCTCTCGACTTCTCCAACGACCATGGGAGACGTAAGATAGAAGTAATCGAAGAAATCCGAAAACAAAAATTCTCTTCTACAAGGTAACCATTTGAAATGAGCCGTTGCTTCTGGCCGGTTGAAGGCCAACGTATCCACAAGACCAGGCTGCTTAACGCAATGTAAAAGCTCCAAAGCATTGTCCAAGAAACAAGAGTGTCAGGCGCATTGCTTCCAGCAGATATGACTACCTAAAGCAAGGTGTAATCAAGATAGGACAGCGGTAAAAAAGATAAGTCAGACAGGCGCCTAAGAGCTCTGCAGCTACATCGCTTCTTGGGTAGCTTCATAGAAGCAGTAAACACCACCTTCGAAGATGAGCTCGATCAAATCCAAAAATCCGATGTGCTGATCGGCAACCCGTATATCAGCGGACCAGCTGGTATCTCGGCTACTAGCCAAATCGGTGAGTGAGGAATGAAGCAATCTTTAAGTTGCCCCAGGAGACTAATAAAAGGTCTAGGCTTCTTTAAAAGTTCACCTCAAAATTGATATACTAAATAACAACGACATAATTCCAAGATTTACTTAACTCATAAAAGAGAACTATGAGCCTATTTACCAGCAAAATGCCAGATATGCGAGAGATGACTAGAAATACGCGATTAATCAACCTGTTAGCGCAGCAAGTTGCTCATCACGGCTCTCCCGCAGGCATCAAAACCTCACAGCCGTCCCAATGAGCCTATAAAGTATATCTTGAGCTCGTGAATATTGATTTTCCATACACGTTCTAGCAACCCTAGTCCATTAAACCCCAGTTCATTAACATTTTGCGAAGACGAACAACTTCTAAATCACATAAACCCCTAGAAATGATACGACGTACAACACCAGTCTCAGTATTTCGAAGATTTTCTTCACTAAGAGAACATTGTTCCGTTTGAAGAAGATACAAGACCGGTATTCCTTGATTCTAGTAGTACAGAGAACCCAGCAGATTTGCAGGAAAGTTAGAAACCGTGTATCTGCCCAGCATTCTACAATCCGGAATATCCGGCCTGAAGAAAGCTGTTGTTAGCTATAAGCCGGCAAACAGCACGCAAGCGTACACATCGTATCATACTTCTGCGAACTAGCCACGGATGTCACTGAATCCTTGATAATTATACTAGCCCTTGTTTATTGCCTTATTAGACATGTCATACATTTATCCCTGAGAAACCTGATTCTAGCTGACCTAAGTTTAATCGGGGAATACTTTCAATTTCTGACGGGACACCCGGTACATGTGATTCTGCTACATGCTCATTAAAAGACTTCATTGGCTTCTTAAGACTTCCCATATTGCATCTTCTTGTGGGTGGACTCGTCGCTCTAGAAGATGACTTTGGTGACAGGGCAGAAGAGCTCGTGGACTGCCGGAAGAATCACACCGACGAATTGCTATCGAATGGCACCATTCTCAAAATTCTATCGGGATCCGAAGGGGTATAAGTGGTGGTTTTCAACGTATTAAACAGCAGATGAAGGTAATAGCATAGAGTATAGCGAGCTTACGTATTCAAGATCCGGGCAGCTCCGGGGTTTGAAGCAGGTCCTTTATTCAAGTAGCCACCATATTCCAAGCGCTTCATAGTTTTGTTATGGAAGAATCTTGAAGGATCTGATATCCTCCCCTACCACATTTTCTTTTACTGGATTATAAAAACGTGTTGTCGCGTGTCATGCTTGACGCCTGTCTGGCTGTGTCGCTATCCGGCCGATGCGGCGCCGGAACCAGTGTGCCGAGTGCCACCTCCACTGTGATTGCGGCAAATGAGATTTGATTATTGCAGTCCACAAAAGGCCCTGGGATCCTTTCCGCTGATAAGCCAGCCGAGCCATCGTCCCATTGCTCCAGAGGAACCTTTGTTCTGGCTGCGAGCAAATCCGTCCCCTGCGCTCTCTTCGTCGATCAGAATTTGGCCATACCACAACAAACAGAACACAAGGATTCATATCCCAGATACTTATTTAGTCATTGACGGGCATAATTGAATCAGCCATTTAATACTCATTGTCGCCCAGCTTATCTTCAATTCAGTCCTGGGAAAAGCTCTTCGTCGCCTTCTCCGAGCATCATTGCCGAAGCGGGACATATGCACAATTGTCCCTTTGCTTTGGCCTCTTGCGGAAGGAGGAGGCAAACCTGTCCCGGGCATTGTCATGAAGCTAAATATACCACCTGCCTACTGCGACGATTGAGGGGAGGGATCTTTTCGAATCTCCCCACAGTCTCGTGCCTGGATTGCACCTTGGTTCCTACCCAGGCCCTTGGATTGGACAATGCAGCGAGGATCATGCGTGTTGCCTCGACGGATCCTCGGATAAGGCCTGATTGGTATCGCATGCCATTATTTTATGTAGCACGAATAAAAGCAAGCTCGTCTGCCCTGTCCAGGATGGCCTGGAGCCCTCTCGTCTTGTAGCCAAGTCCTCAGACAGCAGTAACTCGCCATGAGACTCAATTCAATCACATCGGCTGCACTCTCCCTCGCGGGCCTGGCCTCCGCTGCTTTCATGCGCGGGAATGGGATCAAGGTCGGCCCCATCGACGAGACGGTCCAGCTCCGGAGCGTCTCCAGCACCAACCAGAGCACCACCGGCTGGGGCACGTTCGAGCAGCTCCTCGACCACAACGACCCCAGCCAGGGCACGTTCAGCCAGCGGTTCTGGTACGGGATCGAGCACTGGAAGGGCCCGGGGTCGCCCATCTTCCTTGTCAACCCGGGAGAGCAGGCCGGCACGAACTTCAACAAGACTTACACCACCACCGCGCGGCTGCCCGGGCTGTTTGCCCAGGAGCTGGGCGGCGCCGTCGTCATCCTCGAGCACCGATACTGGGGCGAGTCCTCCCCCTTTGAGGAGCTCACCGTCGCCAATCTCACCTGGTTGACCCTGGAGCAGAGCATCAAGGACAATGTCTACTTTGCCAAGAACTTCAACGCCCCCTTCGACACCACCGGGGGGAGCAAGCCCGATAAGGCCCCCTGGGTTTTCTCCGGCGGCTCCTACTCCGGTGCCTTGGCCGGCTGGCTTGCGGCTCTGGAGCCGGGCACCTTCTGGGCCTACCACGGGACCAGCGGCGTCGTCGAGATCATCTCCGATTTCTGGCAGTACTTCACACCCGTCCTCGAGGCGACGCCCAAGAACTGCAGCCGCGATATCAACGACGCCATTGAATACATTGACCACGTCCTCCTTCACGGAAATGCCAAGCAGAAGCACGAGCTCAAAGACAAGTTCCTGCTTGCTGACCTTGCTGATGCTGATTTCGCTTCGTAAGTTTACATTTCTGATACTGTTCATCTGGGAGGATATGGACCAAATACTAATAGAATTCATTTTAGAGCCCTTGAGTATGGGCCGTGGCAATGGCAGTCCACTCAATTCTATTCCGAGAAGGTCAATGGCTTCAATTCTTATTACCGATTCTGCGACTACGTTGAGGTATGCCCAGCTCCCTTTTTCCTCCTTTTAATATCTCCAAATGGTAAAAACGAGTACTGACTGTTCATCGCAGAACGTCTGGCCCAATTCTACCAACAAGGTCCCAGGTGCTCACGGTGTTGGCAGGGCCAAGGCCATCGAAGGCTACGCCAAATGGTTCAAAGAGGAGCTTCTTCCAGGCAGTAAGTTCAGGATTCCGCATTGCTTGCTGTGTTTTCTCTTGGGATAAATCTAACAATCCCGCCCACTAGACTGCGAGTCCTCCGGATATGCTGATTGGCAGGGCACGTACAACACCGGCTGCTTCGCTAATACCAACTCATCCAACATCATCTTCAAGGATCTCAGCGTTGGCAACTGGGGTAACCGACAGTGGAACTGGATGCTGTGCAACGACCCGTACGTCCCCCATTCTTCCAATATGACCCTGTTTCTTCTTGCCGTTGCTGACCAAGGTTCACTGTAGGCTCAAGTACTGGCAGACCGGCGCACCAAAGGGCCACACGACCCTCGTATCCAGGCTCGTCAACGTCGAGTACTGGGAGTCGCAGTGCAAGTCCTGGTTCCCCGAGGGCGGCTACGGGATCGCGAAGGGCAAGACCGAGGCGGACGTCAACCGCTACACCGGCGGCTGGTTCGCCAAGAACACCACGCGCCTCATGGACACCAACGGCCAGCGCGACCCCTGGCGCGACGTCACCGTGAGCTCGATATACCGCCCTGGCGGTCCGCTCAAGAGCACCCCCGAGCACCCGGTCCGCGTCGTCCCTGGTGGTGTTCACTGCCCGGACTACTACGGGCAGAACTGGGAGGCCAACGCGGAAGTGAAGAAGATCGCCTACGATGAAGTGGACAATATGAGGGAGTGGGTGAACGAGTTCTACGAGCAATAGATCTATTTGGACAAGCTGTAAAATAGTTGTCTAACATAAATCACTTATGTAATGCTATTGGATAAACCGTATATCCAGGTCAAAATTGGATAGATCGTAATATTCATTGTTCGCTGCTGATGAAAAGTATGCCGTGATCCAAAATGTCAAAAACTACCTGTGCATACCTCTTAAGATTCCGAAACCTTCAACAGGAAGGTCAATAAATAAACAAAACACAGACCGGGACTACGTGTAATCAGTTGTGCAATCAATGTTATACCGGCTTTTAAAAAACTGCCTCTATCATAGAGTAGGTAGACGAGTACTTATAAAAGCTTGCTTGTGGGTAGGCACTATTATATCATAGTTTTTTCCACGATTGGCCTAATAGATTCGTATATGTCAACATATTCAAAATTTGCGAGACTTCGTGATCAACTATCTCTATGTATTCATCAAAGTCGTAAACACTATATGCCAGTAGATTCTAACTACTCCTAGGAACATATATATTTCAAATATCATCCACATGCAACTCAAATAACAGCGTGCCGTCTTGAAGAGCTGACCCTCAATAGGGCTCGCGGCGCAGATGGTAATACATATAAGTTGCCCAGGCAGTGCATTCGACAAGAGCCCCTGTGGTACAGTACTCAGCGCGCTCCCATACTGACTTCCCCGGTGATGTGCTCACACTGAAGACATGACCATCTATCCGCAGCATCCCGCTCCCTCCAAAGGTAGGCCAAGAGAACGGGTATATTTACAGGACAGCGGAAGAAAATATCTATTCGATCCGAGAAGGAGCATTTCTTTTCATTCTTTTCATTTTTTATTTTCCTTCTTTACTCTTTGAGCCTTTAGATTTTGCTGTTTCCCTCGCACGCAACTATATTGAGACTCGTTCAAAGATTTCCAATAAGGAGAGCCCTCCATATCCAACACTGATGTGTCAATGGGTTTTCATCTAGGATGCACAAGGTCAAAGGAGCATTTAGCGCAGTATCGACAGTCTACAGTTCAGAAAATACGTAGTGATCAATGAGGTACGACAAAAAAAGCGTCGGCAGAAACGACGAGCGCGTTACTACGGACATTAAATCCACTGTAGATACTTCTAAGCAGATGTATCTCGTTCATACACTTAGAGAAAACCAGGCAGGCTGTCAACAGATATTATCTTGTCACTTAGTGTCTGCACATCATCAACCTCGGTTGACAGGGATTTGGTAGCCTTCCAGTTGGAATCCGGTGCGTCAGCATTCGATCGCAAGGACCCATTAGTAGTATTAGAGTTTAGAATCACCTCAAGAGAAAATATAGAGGCCTTGCTCCCTATTATCTAGCAATCATCGCAAGCGAAGTAGGAGGTTGGTGGTCGACAAGCAATCGGAACCTAAACCATAAGGAGGGCTCACTGCGCACCCACCCCACCATCAACAGAAACCTCATGGCATGAATTGGTCTTGGATATCACCTCACAACCTTCAGCAATACGAATTTCAAATGATATAAGAAATCATCGTTTTATGTTTGCCCATATCAGTAAAACAAAAGCAGGGTAAAGCAAAGTTATTTCCCAATTGCTAGCTATCCTTTGCAATGCTCAATCCCCCTGCGCGTAGATCAAAAGATAAAGAAAACACGACGTTCGTGGTAGTGATATGCGACTCGCTGAAATGAACCATCCAGATTGGTCGTTAAGCTGACGGCGAGATAGTATTCAAAAAAGCGTAGAAAAAGAAATGACATGTAAATGAGAGTACGCAGAGTTCGACCCGCTGGCCAGTTTTGTTGCCTCCCAATCTCAAGATTTCAACTCCAATTCTCCCATAAAATCAATAAAAGCAGGGGAAAACCCCTTCCACCTCTCTCTTCTTACCTCTCACTCTTTTTTTTTAAAGTTTGATAGAGTTACAGCTGATGGTGTTGCTCCTCCTCGCCCAGCCTCGAAGTGGAATGAAACAATAAACAAACAAGGGAAACAAGGGGGGGAATCCGTAGCTCGTGTGTAGTCGCTGTGTTTCGCATGCGGGAAGCGCCTTCATTGTCAAGGCGAATTATAATCAAAATCGAGGTGTCCGCTAAGCCGAGGGGGATTGCAAATTCTCAGACAACTTGCTTCGATGTTCCAACCAACTCCTGGCTTGTTTGTCCGAGTCTTTCATCTTTCTAGTAAGGCAATCTGTTACAGACGACGCCTGCTCGTTCTCTTTTCTTCTTTTTTTTCCTCGTCAATCCCTTTGCAGAGAGGTCTCCGTCTCTGATTGTTTCTCTTGGATTCCGATCGCTCGTTTAGCCCATTTTCACATCCCCGTTGGGCTCTGTCTGTGGCAGGATAGGCTGTTCCTGAGCCTCCCTGCTATCCCTTCTCTTCTTCCCAATGCGCTCGCACCACTCCTCGGCGCTCACAATGGTACCATCCAACACGCCGCTAACCTGGGACACCATATCAAGTCCTTCTTTCGCCAAAAGGAGTACTCGCTGTGCTCCATCACGAACGGCTGAGTCGCTGTCTGGAGCGCCGGATGCGCTATTAGATTCAGACATGGCAGCGACACGGAAGCGTTGTGGAAGGCTCGTAAGATGGCGGCGCACCAGGACACGGGCATTCTCTGGGAGCGCTCCTCCAGCATATCTTGACACCATATTGATTGCATCCTGCAGTGTCTTCAGGACATCGCCTTTCAGAGTATTAATGCGTGTCGCTAACTCGGCACGGGTCTCTGGCGACGTAGCCCTCTCCATCTGCTCATCAAGACCGCCGTCATCTCGGGCGCTCTCGGTTGAATCGGCCTGTCCCGCTTCGGCGGGTGGTTTCTCGTATTGTTCAAGGGTAGTCTTCAAATTCCCGACAACACCTCCGATATGCTCGTTTGCCCATTTCAGCCAGCGCAGGCAGTACTTGAGGCTGCGAAGGCTCTCCTCACTCATTGCCACGCTCAGGCCAGAGGTAGACATGATGAGACGCGACTGCCAGGCTGCGGGGTTTGCCTGCTGCTGTCCATTGGGTTGCGATGACTGGTTGTCATTGGTCTCGGTATAAGCAGGTGAACGAACGTCATCGTACGCCGGCAGCGTGTCCACCGTGCTGGCGAAAGACATCCGCCGACCATCCTTTGGAGTTGACGGGTAGGAGGCCTGAGGGGGGCTTGCCAATCCTTCGGCCTCCAACCGTTTCCTTGACATCATTTCCGCCTCGGACTCAACCTTTCGTCGCTTCTTCGAACCGGCACCGGTTTCAACATCCGATCGTTGGCGACGGCCCGCACCAAGGAACCAGCGCACACCTCCTTCCACGCCAGTGACACGACCAACGGACCCGACAGTGTTGGCAATTGGCGTAAGATAGCCCTCTACGTATTCGGCTCCAGACTTGAATCGAGGTGAAAAGTTCTTGGCACCACCATAAGCCGATGTGGCTCCCTCAATCGTGGTAGCTAAGAGAGGATGGGATGTTGTAAGTAAGGAGAACAGGGGCTCCGGGCCCTGTGGTGACTGTGAACGAGTGGCGGGCTGTGCGGTTGGTGCCGGAGGGCTCAGAGGAAGGGAAGCACTCATGTGGGACGGAGACGAAACAAAGTCTGGATCAGCAGTCAGCGCTTGTGCCAATTTACACAGGCGGAAAGGAATGTAGCCGCCGAGACCAGTTCATGTCTCAAGGCAAAAGAGACTTACCAGCTCGCAGGTCCCCAAGGGCTTCGGCAGCCAATCTCACATCAGGGTCGTCAATGTTGACACTGCCAGCCCGGCCATCGAGACGACCATCAGGCGATACCGCAGATAGAGGACCGCTCCTCATGGTATCCAAATCCATCACATCGGGGCAATCTGTCATATACTTCTGAGGGTGGTTCGAGGCAGGCGTGGCGGACTGTTGATGGTGAGGCGTCATAGGGTTGACGGCGCCGGGCCATTGTGTGTGCGAAAGCGGCGCAGTAGGGAAATCCATACTAGCCGTCATCTTGTGAGGATATCGTGCGTGATGGTCGCCCGTGAGGGAACTCAGGGGAGGTAGCGTGCGATCATTATTCGACTGTAAGGCTTCGGACAGTGGTGGCAGCGACTCGATCGCCGCCGGCAATTCAGCGGGAGGCAAGGGGACGGGGGGCTCAGTTCGCAACGGGAGCGTCGCCGTCAATGGAGTCGAGTAGGAGTAGGCCGGTGGGGGGAGTGTCGGTGGTGGAGATGCGAGGTGAGCAGGAGGACGAGCGACAGTGTGGGACGAGGGCTTGGAGGTTGGTGAGGAGTGGCTGTGACTTTGCTGGGTCATCTCTTTCCCTTTTCTTTTTCCCCCGTCGCAGCTGCTGTGGCTGCTCTGGCGGAATCGTGCTCGAGGCGGTTGTGGTTCTTAGCTTAGTAGTAGTGCCTGTGTTGGTGCTGGGGCGAGCATGTGATTGCGGTGCTCTCGAAATGCTTGGCTCGGCGATAAAGGGCCGGACAGTTCAGCGCCCTCTACCCCTGCACACAAGTAAAGTAGTCGTCAGTCAGGTCGGCTTCAGACCAGGCATGTACCTAGGGACTGCTGCAACTAGGGTCCGGTCTTGAATGATGAGCAGCCGGGGCCAGAGTCAGAATTTGTCCTGTTTCAAGGATATGCTACTGGTAGGTGATCTTGAACCCGAGCGGCAGAACCCGTCTTCGGCGGTTGGCCAATTCGTTGTGAAGCAGCGTGAGCGTCGGTCGCAAGGCGCATCCGAGCGAGAAAGGTGGAGGGAGGGAGAATCAAGGTGGGCGAAACGAAGCTTTGATGGCCGACGACGAATGGACCACGATGTGTGGAGGGTGGGGGGCACGATGTCCTCTGATGAGTCTCGTGGGACGTTGATTTTTGTTGGGCCACCACCTCAAGTCAGTTGTTGTCTGGCTTCGGGGGGATGCAGGAGGGTAGCAACTAGGGCACCACTACTAAGAGGTACTATGTGACTACCAGTATCAGCTACAGGTGCCCAAGCCAGGTACCTCTATTTGTTCGTACAGGCAGGTCCCTCCCATGTGAGTGTCGTCCAGGCGCCTCCTTCATATCTCCTGAGCCCATGCCTGCTCCCTATCAAATGACCTGACATGTGAGTTTCCTCATCCTTCCAATTCCTCGTCCTCACCAATTCAAACCAGAACGCAGTGCAATCCTAATCCAACGCACGTGCATACGCCACCCACTCATGGCATGACAACATCATCGTCCCCGGCTATTAGGCATGGGCTTAGCGCCCCTCCGGGGTTTCATCCACTAGAGGAGCAGGTACAGCCAATCTGTCGTGTAGGTACCTGTCGGGCTCATTCTACGAGATATTTACCTCCACCTATTGCGGAGGATTATTCAAGACCCCTAAATTCAAGCAGACGCTCGGTGAATCCAGCGTCTCGGCGACCGCAAGCAGGTACCTACAGAGGCGTGGCTCCCACCCTCTTGCTGCTGCTACCCGGCGCACTGTTGCACCAGACGCCCACTGAAAACCCCCCGGCGGCAATAAGTAGTCGCCGGAGTTTAGGTACTCCATTGGCTCTACAGGCCCGTAGGTACCAATCAGGTACTCGCTGCTTCGGCCAAGCGAATCACTCTTCTGACATGTGAAAAGGCACTCGGTCCTGCTCTGTGATGCGATGGAATTGATTTTTTCTCGTCGGTTTTCTTGTAAATGCGCACCACCACCACGACTACTAGCAGACACAACTATAACCGGTTTCTTTCACGAGCTATTGCCTTAGTCTCTTGCTCGGCCCTTCAAACACCGGTGCGTTGTGAGGGCGCTTGGGTCAAACTCGGTCCCATCCTCACCCCTATCCGGTCCCCGGGTCGGTCGTAAATCACATGCATACTGTAGTTACGAAAGTTAAGGCGCACACACATCAGGGTTGGTACCGCGACCTCCCGCCCGCACGTGTTGACCCCCCTTTGGAAGCTTGGAACAGGTTAGTCTCGGGGCCGCGGATTTGTCAAGTTCTATTTCACGCACTGCGACCCAAGGTTGGTTTCAAGGAGCGGAGAGATACCTACCCGTCCAGAGTACATCCACTCTTATAGGGCGTAGAGTACGCGTAATTGTCAAATGACGTTGATCCACCTGAAGAGAACTGATGCTACATGAACAACAGCACAGCACATCGTGGCTACTGCGACTGAACCCCCTTCGTCCATGTGTCAATGCAGACGGGCGCCGCGTGGTGTTTTTTTTTTTTGGTTCCTTTCCTGTGAGAATTGTACAGCACAACCGCAGCACTGGGGGCCATTGCAACTCCAAGATGATGGACGGATTTGCACGTGCACAGAGAATCATAATCTACCAATATGTCACATCCGGGGTTCTCTTTTTCTCTTTCCGGAAGGATGGTGAGATGACGAAAATACCCTGGCTAGAACATAATGTATCCGGTAATCTTCGCAGGCTTGCTCAACGGCCAGCTTTTCCACTACAATCTTGGTCTTCCAAATCGAGCTGGTCTGCTGTAGCCGGTCATGCTACCAGATTACAGTGCAGGTAAGGTAGGTCATAATCACAAGGAATCGCATGCCCGTTGTCATTGTACGTGCTGGCTCCATGAAAAGTTTGCTCTCTACGGGATTCAGATGACAATGCAGAATTGGAACCTTCACCGCTGATCCTGATCAGCATTGGCAACCCAATTGATGTGCCCAAGCTGAACAGACCTGGCAGAGACGGGACGGGATCTGGTTGGAGGGCACAGATACAATCTAGGTTTGCTCACGCTCGCTTAACCCTCCATCCGGAGGAGTATACTATTAGATTTCATATATAGAGGTAGGCATAAATTATAATTATATTCATCTAAGTTATATATCTCTAGTACTTCTAGAGGGGATAATTATATAAATTACTATATACTTCTCCTTTAAGCCTAAGGCTCTTCTAATCTAGGAAAGGAGGTATATTTATACTAAACTAACCTTATTCTAGCTAATTATATTAGGTTATATAATACCTTAGTTCTAATATACCCCCTAGGTATAGACCTCTTAGTCTATAACTATAGCTATAACTAGTAATAATAGCTAATTAATCTTAGTTATTAAATTAAATAGAAAGTTAAAATAAATTAGTTAAGGTTAGGTTTAAATAAATAAGCTTTATTTAGTTAAAATAATACTTAAATTTATTATTTTAGTTATTATTAGTATAACTAAATATATTAAAATACTATAGTAAATTATAGTACTACTCTATAAATTATATTATTATAATAGAGTTAGGTTATTATTTATACCTTTTAAAGTATATTTTAATTATATATATTTATTTTCTTTTATTTAATAGTATATTTAATTAAGCTTCTTATTATTATATATTCTAAATAGAGTTATAATTATAAAAGTAAGCTATAAGGTAAGAACTTATATTTAATATAGCTCTTAATAAAGGCTATAAAGGGAAAAGTACTAAATAGCCCTTAAATAAATACTCTTATTATAATCTTATAAGAAGCTTCTCTTTTTCCTCTTTTCCTTATCTATTTATAAAGTTATAAGTATTTACTTAATATAATTTTTATATTATAACTCCTTTAGTATTTAGTAATTAGCTAATATTATAATAAGAATTAAATATATAAATCTCTCTCTCTCTCTTATAAGTAGTAAGTTTATTCCTAGTTTTATTTACTTATTTTAAGTAATTAATTTAAGGATATACTAATACCTTTAGATAGAATAACTCTATTATACTTAATATTATTACCTCCCCCTTATAAGTATTTTAAGTCTTAAATAAGTAGTTTTAAGTACTAATTTATATTAATAGCCTTATAACCTATAGTGCTATTATTACTAAGGCTATTAAAGAGGCTATAGAGGCTAAGAAGAAGAAGAAGTAGGAGGAAGCTTATTTCCTCTACTAGGAGAAGGAGGATACCCTTAAGAGAGAGTAAACCTCTAATATTAAGTAAGTTTACCCTTTAGTATATAATTTTAAGTATTATTTAATAATTTCCTAGTACCTTAGAACTATAAATAGTCCCTTATAAGGGGTATTTAAACTTAGCTCTTATAGGTATCTTAAGTAGTATTTATTAAGACTACCTTAATAAGAAGGATAAGAGCCTCCTTCCTAGCTACTATATATAGTATTAGGAGAGTAGCTCCTATAAGCTAATATAAGTCTTATTCTACTATAATAGTTAGTTAACTTATACTAGATAGGGTCTAGGGTAAGTTAAGGTTAAACTAATTAGAGTATTATTCTAAGTAGTATAATTAGGTTATTTAGATACTATATAAATTACTATTAATATATAAGTATTAAGGAGCTAGTTTTAATAAAAGTAGTAATAATAATATTAATAACTATCTAAATAAGTATTTTTATCTAAGAAATAAAAGTATATATATATTAGGGTTATTACTATCTTATTACTAAGCTATTACTCTACTAAAGTAATAGGTTAATATTATTAGCCCCTAAGGTAGAGCTATTAATCTACCTTATATATAACTTCCTATAGCTTAATAAAAGCCTTTATTTATAATATAATACCCCCTCCTTATTAATCTTATCCCTAAAGCTAGCTTATTATACCCTCTTATCCTAGTATATACTTAGCCTTATATTTATTTATATTATATATATATTAATAAGATATTTAGCTATATCCTAAAATAAAAGAAATCTAACTTAATATATAAATATACTTAGAAATCTAAGTATATCTTTACTTATAGGTTTAAGGTTATACCTTATATTAAGTATATAGAAAAGGATATAAATTACTTTATTATCCTAAGTCTAAATTATTATACTATATATATATATATTAGTTATTTATATAATAATACTTACTCTTTAATATTATTAAGTAAGTACCTTTTCTTTTTAATCTTTTTTATACTTACTAACTTATTATAGTTAAAAAAATTAATAAGGAGCTATTTTATTTAGAGGATAAAAAGTTAAAGGTAAAGGTAGAGTTAGTAATAGTATTTATATAAATTTTATATTTATAGAAGATATA